AACAACTTTGATTTGCCAAATTAACTGTTTCATGTGTGGTAGAGAGGTAGTTGTTGTGTGGCTTGTCACCATCTGCCACAGGTAACACCTGCCCTCTTCAGAGCATCCCGTTGGAGCTATGGCTGCAGAAAGAGGAACTCATCAACAGCTCATGTCCAAGTTCTTTGAAGCCCAGCAGTTCATCCCAGTCCCCCCCACTGGCATAAAATCCCAGAGCAGGAGACAGTAAATTTGAGGATTTGGACGGTTTCATCATGGCATTTGTGGTTGTTATTTTTCTTGGATTTTAACTGTGAATAAGATGGAAGGTCTTGCAGAGCTGTTAGTTTGACATGTGTTAAATATTTCTGAGATGTTGAGTTTACATAGTTTATCCAAATCCAAACATTTGCATTAGAGTTTTTCAGGATTTTTGCAAAGTGGTTTTAGTGCTCTCTCTCTCTCTGTCTCTCTCTTCTCCCCCCAACTGTTTAAGGTTTTAAAACTGGAGATCTGAATTACTGCTATGAGGAAGAGCAGTGCAAGGCTTTAAAATGCCTATATATGAAGACTTTATCACTAAATCTACCTATTTACATTTTAGAACAGCTCTTAGTGGTAAAAAGCATCAATCTCACTGATTCTTAGATTCTTAAAATAATCTGTAAATGACTTTGTAAAATCTGTGTTTTAGTATTTACTAGATTACACTTACTCTGAATTCTATTAATAGTCTTTTTTTTTTTTTTTTTGGCTGAAACATTATGGGTTTTGAATGACAGTATGTGATTTCATTAAAGTTAGTGCATTTCTGCAGGTAAGACCAATCTTTTGGATGAAAAGCGAACTTCCAGCTAAAGGGAAAGTAATTTTTAGTATGTCCTTCAGTAAACCCAGTGGAAGGTTATTCACTGTCATGGCAAATGTTCAGTTATGTAAAGTGTCACATTACTTTAGTTTCAGAAGAGGCTTTGAAACAGTCTACTGTATATATCTTACTAAAATTGTACAGCAAAATATTGCTCTGTATATTACAAAGCTAAGTGTTTTTTTCAAGTGATTTTTCCTTCCCCACAAAGATCTGTAAGTAGGTGGACAGTTTGTGTGCGTGACAGAAGCCATGACTTGGGGCAGTCCTTCTCTTGTGATCTGTGAAATGGGTGACACTAGTTTTATGTTCAACTTCCAGTCCCATGTGCGCAGGGTTTTTTTGTGTTAAATGAGGCAGAACATAAATAGGTAGAAAGTACGTGTATCAGATTTTTTTAAAAACACAACCCTAGAAGACTTTTTTTTTTTTCCAGTTTTGTCTCTGTATGTGTTTTTGAAGTTACATGGCCTTGAATAGGGCTTCTACCCCAAAGTTTAGATAGTTAGTAGAAAATTGTTTGAAATTGGATAAGCAAGCATCTTAATCCTTGGAATTTTGCTGCATACTTGGATGTTTTCTTCACACATTCATGTGTGCTGCCTGAGTAGTGCTATTTTTTCATGGAATAACACTGTATATATCTTGTTACTTTAATAAAGACGTTTTTAGCATTGCTCCTGCTGGCACTAACTGTGTTCAGTGTAGGCGGTGGCATTGTACTACGTGTCACTTCAAAGGGCCAAACAAATTGCTTGTCACAGTTCCTGTTGAGATTGGGCAACTGATTCTATTTTTACTAACTAAGTGTATGCAAAAATGCTTTGGTTCATATTTCAGATGCTCAAATACAAAAATTTACCCAGTGTACTCTGTTATGATGGCCTTGTTGACTTATTAGAGGTTATTCTGTAGCTTGAAGAAAAGGAAGACCTTTCTCTAGCTGAATTTATTTAAAGAAAGGCACCCTCAGTGCATTTGAAAGCATTTACAACTGAATGTGTCAATAATTTTTGGTGTTAAACTGTGTTTCCCTTCTAGTAATTCCCCTAAAGTGTCAGCTCTATTTTATTTTATGTTTAGAAATATTTTGTTTCAATCAGATGCTCAAAATTAGTTTGACTGGGCATATGTACCAAGATCAGTCACACTTCAGAAAAATGTTATAGTAGCTAAGCCACATGATATGGAATAAGGAAAGTATTATAAGAAACAGTGTTAATTCACCTGCTTTTTTAAATGAAGGGGGAAGGAAGAAAAAGCAGAACATCTGAAATCTCCTGCATTTCCTTCAGATCATGACTTAAAATTTTCATTGATTGCATTAGTCACAAAAATTCTTTTTACTGCTTCTCAATGTAGTAGAATTTGGACTGTTTCTTACATGCAGCTCTAAAGGCTGGAATCTGGAAAGCCTATGGAATATATGCTGTTAACATGGCAGGTGTTACCAAAAGGCAGGTTTTCACTCTGAGGGAATAGAAGTGGGAAAAAGATAACTGATGTATCAGACAGACACTGTGCTTTGTAAATAGAATCCAACCAAGTCTCTTCATTAGTTTGCACTTTTCTAGCCTGGAATGGATTTGAATTTCTGAATCTTGTTATTCCTCTGTCAGCAAATTTTGTTGAAAATCACTAGATTTCCATGTAATAGAAATCCCTTTCTGTTTATCCAGGTGTATATAGGACAATAGCACCTACTGATGGCTTATTAATGACCCTTATTTCATCATTCTGGTGATTTAGGAGAGCTCCAGAGGGCTTCACAGTGATTTCTTTACATTTTACCTAAAGCCCTCCATTATTCTATAAGCTTTAAATTTATTAATGCTGCAAAGTTCAGCGTTAAAGAAATAAGATATAATATAATATTTCATCAAGAAATAATACAGTGAAGCTTGTTTGTTCATTTCATATTCTCATGTGCAGTCTTGCAGTTGCATATGATTTTCCCCAAGACTGTAGCCTGATCCAGTACGTCAAGTGCTCAGTGTTCATTCCTAATGACTGGCTATTATATGTTTTGTTTATTCATTGTGTAGCCTGGGGTTTATTTACTGCATGCTGCTTTCTGAAGACAGAAAACCTAATTTCTGAAATAAAATATTCAGAGTATCACCAAGGTCATAATGCCCTCATTTTCCTGGAGCTGTACAGGTGAAGGTTGGAAGCACATACATTGGGAACCTGTTTTGAAATGCTTAATACTCCATCTCCAGGAGATACTAAATAAATATTTATAAATAAACATATATGTTTTTACATATATATGCATTATATATATATATATATATATATATATAAAAATACCCCCTGTTCCTCAGATTCTGTCTAAATAATGATGTGTCTGCAAGGTGTTAACTGCAGACAAGGGGTATAGCCCTCCTTTGTCACCCTTAGCCTCAGTGAGATTTTTCTGTTCAAGTGATTTGCTTGCTGTTGCTCAGAGCTCTGACAGTCAAGCAATACCTGCTCTGCTGTGACAGCAGTGACTGCTTGCATTGGATGGCTTTTTTTCTTACAGAGAACCAAAGGGCAAGTTGTGTTTGCTGCATAACTCAATTTTTTTGTTTTCAGAAGATGTGTGTCCAGTGCTCTCAGTGAGGCTGCAGATTTATGGATGTGAAAAAATAATTGGTTGTATCACTTAAATCTGTATCACGTGCATACAGTGCTGCCAAAGTGAGATTGTGCAGCCAAGCTTCATTGTGGTATTTTCAGCTACCAAGTGCTTGACTTCGATACTGTTGTTGAATTTTTGGGTTTTATTTGTCTTTAGTGTACATTCAGTGGAATGAACTGTTATAAGTGAATAGTTTTTTTTTCTGTATTGTACCTTTTATTCAGGCCTGTTGAGGAGTGTTCCCTGTTCCAGTTGTTCCAGAAGGGTTTGAGTGATGCAAGTGTTGTAGCTTGCTTGCTCAAAGTAGGCAGCTGTTGCTCATGTAGGCATTGTGCAGATGGGTGCAATCCTGTTGAACATTGCATTAGGAGAGATACTTGAGATCCAGGGGGAAATCGCTGTGGCTCTGTGTCTAACATATTGTTAAAATCGGATCAGAAGCTATTTCTTAGTTTGTTGGCAGCAGTAGGTGAAATACTTGGGTGTTCTGATCTGAATGAGTTGTCTGTAGGACAGCCAAGCTGGCAGAGAGTTTGCCTTGCTGGAGAAGGTGGGTGCTCTGTGGCATCAAAATATTGAAAATTACTTCATGTTGAGAGCTGTGTGACACAGTGTCATGTTGAAAGTCTCATGTTGTTTTCAGAGTCATTGTTTTTGGAGTCAGCATTGCCTGCTATTTACGTCAAGAAACAAACACTTCTGCAGCGCTGTCATAAAACAGAAACAGATTTGCTTTGCATTAGTGAATTATTGCATAGCAAAGGCTGGCACAGGGCCCAGAATTTAAGCAAAACCACAGTATCAACTTCTGTATTTTGTTTTAAAACATAAGGTTACTTTTGATGTGTTCAAGACTTTTCTGGATTTAAGTTCATTGTTCATTTAATAGCTGTATGATGATTGATTACATGCTACTTCTTTCTCTAGTGAATTCCATGTGGATTTCTTTACACTGTTTATGTAGAAGAAATTTTTTTCATCTTACTTCATTATATTCATGTCATGATTAGACTTTCTTGTGTGTAATAGATTTCCATAAAATTCAGTGCTCAGGTGATTGCATTAATTTTTTTTCCCTGATCACCATCATCTCTTGACTTAAAGTCAAAACTTTTTTCTTCAAAGCATTGAGATGATTTTTTTCCTTCCTACCTACTTGTCCTATCTCCAGGGAACCGTGCAAGAATAAGATTTTTACCCTCTTTGTATTGTGTCAAGAACTGGTGAAACAGAGCTATTTTATCTTTGCTCAGAAGAAATCGTAGTCTTTCATTAGAAGAGAAGTTCCTAGGTATTAAAAACTTAAAGGTTGATATTTTGGGTGCTCCAATTTTTTCAGCCAGAACAAAAAGATTTAATGTGGCATTTTCCTCAGGCTGGTATCTAAATTTTCTTTCTGAAGTTTGTTCATTGAAGTAGTTCCCGTGTGACATGGAGACTCTGAACTTCCCATGTAATGCTACTGTTCTCAGACATACGAATGACTTGGATTAGGAAACATTGATTTATCATTTCTTTCCTCTTCAGGCTGCCTGTCACAGAGAGCGTTGGAACGGAATATGCCAAAAAATACAGACGAGCAGAGGAACAACAGCGAGGTGTATCTGGAAATGATCAGCCTGTCTCTAATAAACCAGGTAAAAAAGGAAATAAAAATACTATGATCAGATACACTTGTCCTTTTTCTCCCTGTGGTTTTTCTCCCTATCTCCTGTACTCAAAACTGTGAAACCCTTCTGTGTATTTCTTGTTTAATGATGTGTGTGCATTAGTTTATTATATATAAAGGCCTGGTATTAGAAAGTAAGCACCTTATTTTCTGGAAACCACACCATATAATGCAGTTGCATAGATAAAGGTGCATATATCTGGCTTGTTGTATTGATAAATGTAGATACATGATTGAAATAAATCTGCAAGGAAAAGATACCACCCGTTAGATTCATGTCTTTGTTCTGTTTTCTCATTTTCTATCCACTTTATTTCTGTGCCTACTTGATTATTGCTTTGAACTGCCTTTAGAGGGAAATTTGATTGCACTTCTTTCCTAGGAGCTCTGGTAAAAGCAGTCTGAGGCTGACTCACTTGTCAGGGCAACTCAGCTTCAAACTCTACTGTGCCTCTTAATTTCCAGTTTTGTTCATGTAGATGATTTCCCAAGAAAAGGACATTTATGTGTTTTGTCTGTTCTTTGTGTCATTCTGTTAATACTTTTTGTATACCTTTGCTGATAGACCGAAATTTGAAAACTTGAGAAATTTTCTAGAAATTGCTGTCCTTCAGTGCTTCTGCAAATCCTGTGGCCTCTGGAACTCAGGTAGCTGAGGAAGCCATTTGCTGTCTGTCATCAGCAGAGAGGCAGTAGGTTCAGTTGGCCTGTTCAGCATGTGCAGTGCACCTGACATTCTGTCCCAACATCAAAATATTGTCTCTTTTTCACTTGACATTACAGAGAGGAGGTGTTGAAAGGTGAAAATGGAGGAATAAAGGGACTGGTAAGGAGCTTCTAATGTTGTAGTTCAGGAATCTGGTGGTGTTCCCTGGTTTTTTTCATGTGCTTTATTAGCAAAGGAAGGACAACAACAAACTGACTGAGCCTAAGTTCCTTAGATGTTTGTTTAATAGGGTAGTGGTACTGATTAATGCAATGAAATACCATAGATCATTTAACGTCCTTCACCTGTTAAATCAAAATTCTACCTAAAGTAAACTAGCAACCTAATTTAGCAGCACTACTGGCCTACATAACTTTGAATGGAACTGATGCTAGCAGTGTTCCTCCTGTAAAAGAAACAGTTATAACTTAGGCTTTTTAGGAAATATTTCTGTGTAGTCATCCTGATATTTTATTTTAAAAATACCTGGTTTTTTTGTAGTCTACCCTAAAAAGTTTTTCCTTGAAATTTATACCTTTTAATATTTATTCTTTCCTTCCAGTTGTAACTTACCTAAACAGCATCTAATTAGCAAACCACCCTAAAATATTACTGAAATACTGGCATATTATATACTCTCTTATTATCAATCTGTTAGATATTTCCCTTAGTCCCTTCCCCCTCCCTCCCCCCTTTCTAGTCTTTGTCTGTGTCATTGTCTGGAGTCTTGTTGCTTCAGGAGCTGTTCCATGCAGTGTTGATGCCTGCCTCCTCTCATCAGTGCTGTGCTCCCAGCTGTGTACGATCCAGTGGCGGGTTCTCAGCAAACTGGGTAGTGACAGGACTGGAACATTCCTACGGCATTCTGAGACTGAGCTGCCAAATCCCACCTAGATGCAGAATAACAGAAATACTTCAGAAAATCCTGGTTCTTATTGCTATCAGTTTTGGCTTACAGACAAACTCATGTTAGGATAATAGAACAAAGAAACTCAGTAAGCGAGCATAAGATTTGTACTGTTAAATTTATAGGTTATAAATGTGTACACATTGTTACACATTTGAGACTGCTGCTGTTAAATGGTAATATGAGATCATACAGATTTCAAGAGCTCCAAGGGGTATTTGTAACCACGAGCTGTATTGATCTGGAAGTGTAGGTTCTTTTTAAGAACGTGAGTATTGTCATAAATTATCAAAAGTTTATCTAGACCAGGACATATGAGTTCTAGCTGTGTTGAATACATATGTAGTCAGGAAATAACCTTCACAACATGGAAATGAGAAGCTGATTTGGCCTGAAGGTTCAGAATTGGTATCCTTTTTGTAGCTTCTTTCTTTTGGAGTTGCCGTTGCAACTGTAGATGATACCTTCTGTATAAATCGACAGCCTCTTTTAAAACTTGTGGAGTTACTGAAACTGTTGTGGTGTTTGTATTGTTTGTGCCTTGTTATTTTATGAAATCCTGTTGAGTTTAAATCTTGTGCTTTCCAATTTCTTTGAAAGAGCATATGCTTTTATACTGAAAGGACCAACAGAAATGCCTGATCTGCTTCTGTGTTGGGAAAACAGATCATCAGGGAGTTGCATTTAGAGTTCTGGCTCTGCTGTAAATGATAATACTGCTGTGAAAAGAAAGTTGAAGTGATTAAATAAGAGTAGAAGAAAATTCTTTGTCACAACTCTTAGCCAAAACAAGTAGAGCATTTGCAGTTCTTCTGTGGCCCATCAGACTGGTTTCACATTTGGTACTGGCTGTTTCAGGCTCTACACACCTTTGATTCTCTGAGCTCGTGGGATATTGTGCAGAGGGAACCTTCTGGAGTTGTGTGTATGGGACACTCACCTAATTTGAGCTTCCTGTAGAAAATGGATTTTTTCCCTCTCCCTCCTCCTCCCCACCCCAAAATCTGGGAATTCTAAACTGTGTGCACTAAGAGTCTTGCTCTTAAAGTGTAAAATTGTAAAATCCTTAATAAATTCCCCCCCTCTGCTTTTTTTTTTTTAAGCATAACTATATAATTATTTTCGTGCAGCTTTGTGGATGGCAATTTTTTTTCCTTTTCTCATTCTTCATTATTTTCATACCATTAAATGGATCTGTTCTGGAGGCGTTCTAGGTTCCATGTGAAGTAATTGCTTACAGAGAATAAGCAATTTAAACATCATTTATGCCACATGAAAACTTCAATTATAGAGTTCCTTAAATGTTTGGGATTCAGAACAGATGCATGTCAGAAAAATTAGTCATAGCACAGATTTCACCTCAAAGCCTTTTGTATATAAAATATATGCAAGTTGAAGAGAATCGTAATGGAGAAGTGTTTTCTTAGGAATTTTCATGTTACCTGTGAGCATCCTTCGGCAGTCAGCACTTCAAGACCGAAAATTGTTAGCCTGTTTTCCTCAGTCAGGAAGTTTAATTGCTTTGCCCAGGCTCTGGATTAATCTTTCCAGGGCTCAGTCAGTAGCAACTTCATCTGCTTGGTGTTATGACTGAAGTATGTGAAGTACTGTTAAGTCCTTATGCTTTGTGGCTCGGTGCAGGAGCCGTGTTGTTACCTCTCTCTTTCCTTTCCTGTGAGCTTCCTTGATGACTGTAGTCACCTTGTGTATTTGTAGCTCAGCAGAGGGATGATCAGGGATGTAATAAGCATCTCATTTGACTCACTTAACCAGTACTTCCTAGTATACTTTGTTTTAAGGCTCTCATTTTAATTTGCTTTATTCACAGATACCAAGATCCAGCTGTACAATCTCTTCAGCGATTCTCTTCAACTTTAGAACTGGTGAATGCAAAAATCTAATCTTGTGTTAAAAGGATATGTTCAAATTCAATTCAGGAAATGGGTACCAGAGGGAATACATCTGCTTATATGGCCTACAATAACTGAGATACTGGAAAATTGCTCTTTCCATGGGCACTGGACTGTTTGAGTCATGGCAGTCAATGTGTCTCTACAGAACTTTCATAATAATTGAAAAGGATGTAAGCAGGCAATTTCATCTTACCCATAATTGAGTTTTCTGCTTCTTTTTTGCACTTGCATGCAAAATAATTTCTTTAATAGAGAAATGAATACCATTATTCTGGATTGGCATTAATGCTTCTTATACACTGAAATATTTAGCTTGTCCTAAAACACCATGGTGGGCAGCTGCATGCTTCCTCAATTTACCATTTTCAGATTGGAAGTGTCCTGCATTCTCTGTATGTCAGAATCTGAGGTGCAGGTTAGAGCATGGTGTCTTACAATGGTGTGCACTGGTTGGGTCAGTTATCCTGGTCTTATAAAAGTTTTCCAGAAAGTAAAAGCAATTGAAAAGTTTGTGCCTTTTTTGCTGGTAAGTCTGTAGTCCTTTAGCTCCTTGACTCTGTAGATTTGTCTGTATTGGCAGAAGATCAGTTCTCATTTGGGGAGAACTCGGATATGAAAAATAGAAAAGAAAAACCCCAAGCAAAACCAAACAGTTGAAGGCAACTAGACTATGTGCTACAGAGTTCACAGTTAACTGTTATTTAAATGAGTAGAATAACCTTGGAACTTTCAATGGGATGTGTATTCAAGTGTTTCTCTTCTGCAGCAGGTCTTCGTGGTACAAAACAGCAGCTTTCGTTTTTAAAATATAAAGGTGAAGCTTCTAAGGTCTCTTAAGATGGTTACTCAAGTTCTCCCATCCCCATTTTGCTTTTTTTTTTATTCACTAATGATCATAGCAGGTTTCAGATGGAGTTTGTGTCCTCAGTTTGTTAGGGTGGGCATTTTCATGGCTTCTTTGGTCACATCAGTGTTCATCTGAAGTCGCCAGTTCAGAGGCTCAAGTCTGTACTGTCTGCTCGAGACAGAACTCTCACAGTTGTCATGGTATTAGTTCCCCAGGCAAACTCAGTCATGCTTTTTTCAGTTTAAGCACAGTCTACGTGTCTTGGAGAGAGAAAAAACAAACCATACTGCTTTTAGTACTTGTAGCATCTGCTATGTGCTTATATGGCTGTCAGTTCTCAAATTCTTCGTGTTGATGGTGCCTAACATTGGATCACCATTTACTTCTGGGATAATTCTTTTCCAAATTTCTATGTTTAGGAGAAGGTAAGATGTTGCCATCATAGAATGTATAAAAAGCAATATTAAAGAAAGTTATGTTTCAGCAGTGAAAAAAAAATTATGTATACAAAATTGATTAAATTAATCAGATTATTCAGCAGGTACGTGAATATTGGTGGCTGTTTCTTTGTTTCTGCTTTGGTCCTTTGTATTTTTAAAATAAATTTTTAAATTGAATTTTAGGTCAGTGATTTCTGACTAATGCACTGTCTTTTTACTGAATTACAGAGATTTAAATTATTATATTTTTTTTTACTTTCCCTCCTTATTTATAAGCACTGTTTAAAAATTGCTGCTGTCTTCTATTTTATACTTTTAACGTGCTTTTCAAAATTGCATTTGTTTCATGGAAAACCTGATAGAGGTGGGAAGGCCATGTTCCTTTATCAGGAATTTGCTGACACTGGGATCTGTTTCGTAGCAGCTTGAGGTTTCTTCCAGCATTGGCCAAATCACACAGAGCTGTGGATGTCCCAGAAGTGACATGTTTGTGCCAGAGGGAAACCAGTCAGCCTCTGTACAGTGTTGCTGTGACAGAATGCTATATATGAATTTTTTTCTGGGGAATATATTTAGAAACTTGACCAAAAGTATTTTAGAAAGGACAGACAATATTTTCAAGGCAGGCTGCTAATAAGTTCTGGTTTTCTGTGTGTTCAGAGGTGTTAAGTAAATCCTTGTGCAGTGATCACCTTTAGCTGTTGCATTACACAGAGTCCAGGTAAAGAACCTTTCTTGTTGCAGAGTGTGGCTTCAGGAAAACTCTGTTTTTTAGTGCTTTATGAAACTGTCTTGTTGAACTGTATGCTGTTTTAATGTGAGAATAACTTAATTTGTATTGCTTGACACTTTAAGACAATTTGGGGGCTTGGAGCACATTCAGGTGTAGTACAGAGACAGAACATGTTGTTCTGCCTGCTTTTGCTTCACTGCTGTGTGAGCTTTTTACAACCTTTCCAAAGAAAGGGAGCTATAACTGCAGCCAAGTATTGAGGTTATAGCCTTTATTTTAAAGTAATTATTGCCTTTGTAAAAAGAATACCAGATTTCTTTCTCACCAGTCTGCTTATTGGGGAAATAATGCATTAAAAGAAGTGAAGTATGAGATTTTATTGCTTCTGTGCAAATAAGTCGATTTTACCATAATACCTGGTGAAACCCATTTGAAATAGAAAGGATTCCTGCTTTTGATTTCATTATGGTGGGGTTTTTTAGCCAGATTGTTTAATTGCAAGTTACAAAACAGTCTTGTCTAGGTTTTCCCCTTCTGCACTTCCTCTACAACTGTCTGACAGCAGACCTCTGAGAGAAACTCATGCTGGCACGGTGAGATTTTTGTCCTGTATTACTCAGGGATAACAGTGACTAACTCCTGCCATGAGACTGCAGAATGTAGTATCATGTTGAAGGGTCATCATGGTGCTCACCAGATTTGTTTGAACTGCCAAGTGGTAGAAATATAATTGCCTTCCTGTGAAATTATGAGTTGTTTTCCACTGTGGATCCAGTAGACTCTAGGGGGAAAAAACGAAGGCATATGAATAAGGCAGATTTTTTCAGAATTGTGAATTCTTGGCTGCACAGGTAGAACTGGTAATTGTAATGCAAACTGTACAAAAATACTGTTTTAAATTAAGAGAAAAGCATATAGAATTGTATACATTTCTTACACTGATGATGGTTTATACACAGAAGCAATGTTTTTTCAGAGTTGCTTCCAGTACAACAGCAACTGCATAAACCTAGAAGATCTCCAATAATCTACTGATATTAAAAGTATTAGTTCTATTAATACTCGCAAGTATGCAGTTCAAATTTTAGAGAAGTTAGGTTTCCAAATCTCTTGCTGGATTTTCTTTTTCTCTATTGAAATAAACTATTCTTGGTTATTTTTTTGCCTAGGTACTTCATTGTCTCAGTGTCAATCAGGTGATTCAACTTCTATACCAATAATTAAACATAAATATGTGAATATGCCTACAGCCAAACACAGGGAAAAGGTAATGTCAGTGTACTTTCTCTCATGAAATAAAGCTGAAAATAATGTTTTATTGTGGTTTTGGGGCTGGTTTTTTTTTTGTGTGTGGGGGGGTGTTTTTTTTTGTTGTTTTTTTGGTTCGGTTTTTTGTTGTTTTTTTGTTGGGTTCTTGTTTTAGTTCTTGGTGGGTTTTTTTGTGTTTTGTTGTTGTTGTTTGGTTTTGTTTTTTGGTTTTTTTGGTTTGGTTTTGGTTTGGTTTTTTCTTTTGCTTTTTTGGTTTGGTTTTGGTTTGTTTTTTTCCTTTTTTTTTTCTTTTATTTTTTTTTCTTTTGTGTTTTTCTTTTGTTTTTCTTTTGTTTTTTCTTTTGTTTTTTTCTTTTGTTTTTCTTTTGTGTTTTTCTTTTGTGTTTTTCTTTTGTTTTTCTTTTGTTTTTCTTTTGTTTTTCTTTCCTTTTTTCTTTCCTTTTTTCTTTCCTTTTTTCTTTCCTTTTTTCTTTCCTTTTTTCTTTCCTTTTTTCTTTCCTTTTTTCTTTCCTTTTTTCTTTCCTTTTTGGTTTTGGTTTTTGTTGGGTTTTTTTGTTTTGTTGTTTTGGGTTTTTTCTTTAATGTTTGGGGCTTTTTTTGGTTTTGGTTTTTGTTTTGGTTTTCGTTTTGGTTTTTTGTTTTGGTTTTGTTTTAGGGGTTTTTTTGTTTGTTTTTTGTTTGTTTTGGTTTTTTTGGTTGGTTTTGTTTTTTTGTTTTGGTTTTTTGTGGTTTTTTCTTTGTTTTTTTGTTTTGTTTTTGTTTGGTTTTGGTTTGGTTTTTTGGTTTTTGTTTTGGTTTCTTTTGTTTTTGTTTGTTTTTGTTTTTAATTTTTCTTTTGTTTTTTTTCTTTTGGTTTTGTTTTGGTTTTGTTTTGGTTTTTGGTTTTTTTTTTGTTTTTTCTTTGTTTGTTTTGTTCTTTGTCTTGTTTTTTGGTTTTTGCTTTGATTTTTGTTTTTTTTTTATTTTGTTTTTTAATTTTGTTATTTGCTTTGGTTTTGTTTTTTGTGTTGTTTCTTTTTTTTGTTTTGGTTTTTGTGTTTTCTTTTTTTGGCTTTGTTTTGGTTTTTGCTTTTTGTTTTGTTTCTGTTTTGGTTTTTTTGTTTTGTTTTTTGTCTTGTTTTTGTTTTCTGTTTTGTTTTTGTGGTTTTTCTTTGGTTTTGTGTTTTGGTTTTTTGTTTTGTTTTTTGTTTGGTTTTTGTTTTGGTTTGGTTTTTTGTTTGGTTTTTTGTTTCATTTTTGTTTTGTTTTTTTTGTTTGTTTTTGGTTTTTTATTTTGTTTTGGGTTTTTGGTTTTTGTTTTGGTTTGAGTTTTGTTTTGGTTTTCATTTTGGTTTTGTTTGTTTTGGTTTTGGTTTTTGTTTTGTTTGTTTATTCTTTGTTGTCTTTGTTTTGTTTATTTGTCTTGTTTTTCGTTTTTTGCTTTGGTTTTCGTTTTGTTTTTTATTTTGTTTTTTAATTTTGTTTTTTGCTTTGGTTTTGTTTTTTGTGGGTTTTTTTGTTGTTGTTTTGGTTTTTTGTGGTTTTTTTCTTTGTTTATTTGGGTTTGTTTTGTTTTGTTTTTTGCTTTCTTTTTGTTTTGGTTTTTGTTTTGGTTTTTCTTTTGGTTTTTTGTTTGGTTTTTTGTTTGTTTTTTGTCTTGTTTTTTGTTTTCTGTTTTGTTTTTTTGTTTTGGTTTTGGTTTTTCTTTTGGTTTTTTGTTTGGTTTTTTGTCTTGTTTTTTGTTTTCTGTTTTGTTTTTGTGTTTTTCTTTGTTTTTGTTTTGGTTTTGGTTTTTCTTTTGTTTTTGTTTGTGTTTTGTTTTTGTTTGTGTTTTGTTTTTGTTTGTGTTTTGTTTTTGTTTGTGTTTTGTTTTTGTTTGTGTTGTTTTGTTTTTGTTTTTTGTTTTATTTTTTGTTTTGTTTTTGGTTTTTTTATTTTGTTTGGTTTTTTGATTGGTTGGTTGGGTTTTTGTTTTTAGATGGAAACTTTATGTTTTAAACATTGTACAAAATCACTATATAAAAATTCTTAGAGGAAAAAACACTGCTGTTATACTTTATGGGCACACACACATATTTTACATGAATACCTCTATTCTTTTCTGTGATCTTCTGATGTGTTTTAGAAGTCCAGTTATCTCCACATTCCTTGAAGATGATGGCATGGTGTCTTACAGAGATTAGATGTGTGGCCTGGAAACTGCTGATATTTCAAGTCTGTTAAAAATCTGTTTTGTTTTGTAGACTTATGAGTTTTCTTGAAAAATTGTTTCAGATACTGTCTCTGATACAAAACAATTCAGTTGTGATTGTAGAAGGAGCAACTGGCAGTGGTAAGAGCACACAGATTCCACAATATGTTCTGGATGATTGCATGCAGCAATCTATCTACTGCAACATTGCTGTTACCCAGCCCCGGAAAATCAGTGCCAGCAGCCTTGCCAGGTGGATTAGCAAGGAACGATCATGGACTCTGGGTGGATTTGTAGGATACCAGGTAAAAGTTTCAAATGCTGTTTAAAAATGCATTAAAAAGTACTATGTCTTCTTTCTTAATTGCTTTTAAAGAGATCCAGCATACTGAAGTAATGTTAGAGAATCTGCTTTTAAAGTAGAATGGCTGTTTTCTAGCTGTCTCCTGCTAAATGTTTGTAATTAAATTAACTTTTAAAGTTGAATAACTATAAATCCTGGTGGGACTCCCACAGAAATATTTTTCTGCATTGGACACACCTATTTTTTTATTTTTTTTTTTTCTTTAAACTCCTTAAGTAACATTATCTGTTTGACTTTACTACATTTACCTGTCAGCTCTGTCAAAACTTTCGTGCAGTTATGGCCACATTGTTTTGTGAACATCCTGTTGTTTCTTCTTAGCCTGTGAAAACTTGAACTAGTTTTTCCTCTTAAATCCATCTCCTCCTTTTGCTTTGTCCAACTCAGCTTCAAACTCAGTTATGTCCTTCCTTTTCTAAACTGGATGCCACTTTCCTCTTTTAACACAGGTTACTTCATCTGTTATCCCACATCCACTTTCTTCCACGCCCCATCTTGTGTCTCTGCTTCCCAAGGTGTCTGCTACTGTACCAGGCCTCTGTATCCCTACATTACACTGAATTACTGTCCCAACGAGACCAAGTGAAGCAAAAATAAAGGCAGATAAAGAAAGGTTCAAGGAGAGCAGCCCAGACATGCCTTAGTCCTGAGGCCTTGCAAACTCAGTGCAAAGCTTATGGCCTGCTACAGAAATGCCATATTAGAGGGCTGTGCAGATACATGAGCTTAATTTTTACATCTAAAGGATCTTTATTGTCATCCCTACTGAATGCTATGCATTTGTCTAGGTGACAAATGCATCTATAGCAAATACTGTAGTAGAAAAAATAGTTTTTTCTTTTTCATTTTTCTTCAGGTAGGTTGGAAAACAAAGTAGAAAGGCTCTTCATGGTTAATCACCAAGTTTCAGTTCTGAGAGGTGAACACTCAAGAGAATTCTGTGATTATGCTCTGGCATTATCTCAGATTGTAACTAAGCCAATATTAATAACCTCCAGCTATCATATTTGTAGCATTACTGTGGGCTATTGTCCTGGTTTAAGCCCAGCTGGCAGCTAAGCACCACACAGCTGCTCACTCACCTCACCCCTCCACCCCTCCTGACCCTGGTAGAACGGGGAGGAGAATCAAAGTTAAGCTTGTAGGTTGAGACAGGAGCAATTTAGCAATTGAAACAGTTTAAAATATACTAAGAATAGTAAATAATGATTAAAAAGTAATAACAAAAACCCCCCAAGGGATGCACAGTACAATAGCTCACCACCCACTGACTGATGCCAGACCCTGTCCCCAAACCCCAGTTGGTTCCCTTGTGGGTAAATCCCTGGTTTACATACCAGGCATGGCATTCTATGCCATGGACTATCCCTTTGGCCAGTTCAGGTTGCCTGTCCCGACTGTGCTCCCTCCCAGGTTTTTTGTGTATCTCCTTAAGGGCAGAGCACAAAACACAAAAAAGTCCCTTGTCTTAGGATGAACATGACAGCAACAACCAAAACACCAGTGTGTAATCAATGTTTTACTAAATCCCAAAAACACAGCACAATACCACCTAGGAAGAAGAAATTAACTCTATCCCAGCCAATACCAGAACAGTTATAGATGTTGGGTTTTTTTCAAAGTAAGTTCTACATAAAATCTATGATGTGATTTGATACCTTGAATTAATTAGTCATAAAATTGCTAAATTGATTTATTAGGCTAATGAGTCTTAAAGACATAAAATGGTGCTGTGCTTCCAAGCTGTCTTCAGGACAGTGGATGTGGATGTGCTGTGCTTGTTTCACCAGCACTTTTTTGAGCTGAGTAGAAACAGGTAAAATGGCTGAGCTTGGACACATCTGCTCTAGGCTGATGTGAAAGCTGCAGGTGAAAAGGTGGTCACAGCTCTGCCTGCCTGGGTAGATAGCACCTGAGATAGCTTAAGTTAAACAAGTACTTTAGGAATCAAAAATCTATTGCATAACATAAGTTTGTAGAACTTTCAGGAATAAGTTGACCTTGGTGGTATCTTACACATCTTTCCTTTTCCTGTCCAGTAAGCAAACTACATTTTGGCAAAATCTTTTTCTTCCTCTTCATATTAGTGGAAAAGATGATGTAAATACCTTTAGAAGTCTTTGAAGAATTCTTCTCAGGCTAAAGCCCCCAGCAAGGAATTTTGATACTTAATAAACTTCAGAGGTTTAAATTTTTTTAAATTTCTCCCAAAAAAACCCAGTTAATTGGTTCTGGGATTTGAGAACACTTTTGTACAGAGACTTCTACAAGTGTAAGTAAATAATTTGGATGGATTTACATTGTGTTTTGGAGTACTTTCAGATGCATGTTTCTCTAAATATATTAAATATCTCTTTCCATCTTAACATATATTTTTCTTACTGTTGTTAGTTGAGCTTAGAGAACGTTTCAACAAAGGAGACAAGGTTGCTGTATATGACAACTGGAGTTCTTCTTCAGAAAGTAGTTTCTGCCAAGAGCCTAACTGAGTTCACACATATTTTCATTGATGAAGTAAGTTGTTGGAGATAAGTTTAAATTTCATATTAAGAAAGCCTTCTCTTTTGTTGCTCTTACCATGCAAGAGAAAAGCAGACATCTGCTTGTAAAGATGTTTTGTATAAGGTGTCTAAGCTAATACTTGCTGAAATAGGCTTGTCTCAGCATTCCTTTGAGCGACAAGTGTAGCACTAAGGGTGTAGGGAGGGTTTTTCTGCGTGCTTAGCTTTTCATACAGGTGCCTTGAAATGTTTATTGAAATCTACCATGTGGAATTCAAGAACCTGTCTGGCTAGGCCTACTAGGAGGAAGCAGCCAGTTTTCACTCAGTTAGGTATTACAAAGAGTCTTTATTCTTTAGGGATACCTGAGAAATACCCCTGTGAAAGTTCTGTCTTCTGGCTGGATTTACAGTTCATTCGTGTGGATTCATTGTTATTGCTGTCAATTCACCAAAAAGCTAAAGAAAATACACTTGTAGGTTTTTTGTAATTTGCATATTTTTACATGTTTCTATGCTTACTTCATGTGGAAAGTCAGATGTCAAATTGTGCTTTCATGAACCATGAATGTAAATCACATATGAGATATATAGGACATCTTGGGGTGTAGTGATACAGAAGAGGACTTAGGGGTTTGTTTTGGGAGGATATTTTGGTTATTTTGTTGGTGGGGTTTTTTTTCTTTTGGTTGGTTGGGGTTGATTTTTGTTTGTTTGTTTTTTATTTTTTTGTGAGTTTTTTGTTTGTGTGGGGTTTCTTGTTTTTGTTTTGTTTGTTTGCTTTGTAAGTGTTGGTTTTCATTTTTATTCAGTTATGGTATTGTAGCTGAGAGCAACTTTAATTCTTGGATATTTGAGAAGCAGGGAGACAATACTTGGTATACCATTAGACTATTATAGCAACAAGTAAGGCTGTCATGACTGCATTTGAAGTGGCATATTGGAAACCTGGAAGAGATTGAGCAGATAGTTACATTTTCATATGAAGAAACTTTAGGACTTGACTCAAACAGACGAAAGAATCAAAATAACTCCACATCCTAAAGAATTGTACCACTTGTCTTCATGGCAAAGATTTGAGCACTCTAATGTATTATCAGTCTTGCAAACCTTAGCATTTTAAAGCCAAAAAGAAGGAAATGCAATACTGTCCCATTTCCCCAGCCAAAATTCTAGTCGCTCCTGTTCCCTATATGCCACCTTTCTCCCCACATCTACTACAGAGTTTGTGATCTTGAGCCAACAGTCACTGTTTTAACAAGCAGATGTTTTCCATGACATTTCTAATTGCAAGTCTTGGTACTCTTAGAGCACTGCAGACATTTAGGAGCATACCAAAACAAACCTAGACTAAAAATCGACTTCTTACAGCAAGACCTTACTGTCAGCCTGAAAACTGCCTTAGCTAAATTGTTTTTGTAATGGGACAGTATTGATTATAAGTTTATTTTATTTTAGAATATGCTAATTACCTTACAGGACTCAAATGTTGAAGGCTGAGCTTCAGAAAAAGCTGCTGCACTTAATATATTTAAACTGCAATTCAAGACAGGGATATGATCATCATGGATAATGTTGAGGAGTGCTTGCTGAACTGCAAGGAGCAATCAAAAGCTAGAAGCCATTGAGAATGGGGCACATCTACTCAGATAAACCAACCTAGTCCCTTACTGGATCATTTGTGATTTTATCAGTACAGTTGATTAACCCAGCATCATTACCACTTCAGGTGTTATTGCCAGCTCTAATAGAACCAGTGGCTGGAGCTGATGGTTGGTTTTCTAGTCACTATTCTATGATTTTCATGACTTAATAGTGACAAACAGTTTTCACAAAGGGTACTGTAGACATCTGAACAGCCTTGTTGGAATTTTAAAGTGATTAACATGCATACTCTCAAAAGGTGTTTTCTTCTGTGAAAATGTGTTATTGTTCCAAGTTGCAAAAACAAAGCATACATTGAGTAGGAAAATAAGAGATTTTCAAAAAGAAGATCATGAATTAATTAAAATTAAATTATGCATAATATCTTCCAGGTACATGAACGTACAGAAGAAATGGATTTTTTGCTCTTGATGACCCGTAAACTATTATATACAAATTCACAGTCTGTAAAGGTGGGTTCAAACTGAATTCTGCTGCTTTTTCTCACAAGAATATTTTTGCACGTTTTAAAGAATTTACAACAAATTGTTATGTTGTTATTTTGCACTGAAATATTATTTAGTTTGCTGCACTTCATAAGTAAGCAAGCTAAAGGGCACTCTTTTCCTGGCTGCTATAATGTATTCTGAAAGACTTTTTTTTCCTCCTCATGTTAAAATGCATTAGTTTCTAAAGCCTGCTTAAGGCTAAAAAATGCAAGATGGATATTTGACTAGAATTACTTATTGGGTATTGAGGGCAGTGCTTATCCTTGGTTAAATATGGTAGCATTAACTCCTGGAAATACTGAGGTTTTTTTGTTAAAGTGGGAAAAATAGCAGAAGACAAGAAATGCTGTATTGTAATTTCTGGGCAGAACTGGTAGTAAAACGTGTCTGAAATTTTTCTCTGCATGTTAGGCACTCATGCTTTGTACTAAAGCAGATTTTACAGACATACAGCGTGACATATTTAGTCTTTATGTCTCAGTAATGAACTCTTTAATTAAATACGGGTGATGGAGTTAGGCTAACTCAGTATCTTTATGTGCACCTATTTGGGACTGCAGCTATTTTGTGAGACTCTATGTGTCTTCAGTTAATTGTTTAATTAATGTGACTTTTCCTGTTCAAAACAGACATAAGTGTAGTTCTGGGTTGACTGGTTTTCTTGTCATTGGAAGGGAATCCACGTTCTTAAGTGCAGTCCATCACATTGATTTGAACTGGGATAACTTGGTCTTTAGATCTTCCAAACATGCTGTCACTGAAAGTGGCCTTCCAGTTGGCATAGGGCATGACAGTGCTCTTCACATCTTTCACTTTTTAATTCCTTTTCATGCTGATAAGAAAACTCTCTTGTCTTTAAATTCAGAGACACTAATATGAAAGTATTCAGCCTTTTTTTAGCACTTGGCTCTGCCTATTGAGAAGACCAATAATTTAATCAAACTGAGTTTGTGAAAAGTTTTCCCTTGATGCTAATTACCTGGTTGGTGTCAATGGCAAGAAACCCTACAGGCCCTGTCATCGTTTTCTCTTAGAAAACATTTTTCTGTTATAGGTTCCTGAAATATTTTTTCCTTTTTCTCTATAATTGCATTTAAATCTCTCAAAATTGGCACTGGAAAATTTTATCCCTTTTATATAGTTCTCTGCAGTTGTTTCTGCAGATGACAGTTTCATACTGTATAAACCTGAGACAATCTTACCTTTGAGGGAGAGGGAGGATGTCCCTTTGAATTTTTGATTTTTTGTAATGGTGAAAAGGGGGGAACTCTTGATCTCAGTTTCTGGCTCTTAGCAGACCAAAAAGTGGGTAATTTGGTTTGAATTTATACACTAAGCCCAGTGTCTCCTACTTAATCCCTTTTCAACCCCTTTTGAAAAACTATAAAGGAAAGGGGTTTTGATCATATGGCAAGTTAATCAGAACATGTAAGGTTTTCCTCCCAGCCTCCTTGGATTCATGAAACAAAAGTGTACAAGGATACCTGTTTAAGGGGGGGGGGATACAAGACATTTATATGAAATGCATGTGAACTGTTTGTTTCCTAATCTGGACATTGCAGACCTCAGAAGTAGCAGGTAATTCAACATTGCATCAACTAACAAGATGGCAAGAGCAATTCTGATGTACTGAGGACAAGAACTACCTGCTGTGGTTCACCTACCAACTATGCTGAATTTTCTGGCAGATGGCTGGTGCAGATTATTATTTTTAGATCACAGAACAGACATTGGATTGTTCTAAGGTTGATCTTGCTGGGATAGGGTTGTTGCAAGGAAACCTGACACTGGATCAGACCAAACAATGCAGTTTCTAGTAGTGACTGATAACAGTTTTTGGTATTATCTGGTGGGTCTTTAGACATCTCCATGCTGTACAAGTGGTTTTGGACTGCTTGATCTTGAAGAACTGTCTTCTTTGATTACCTTCTGTTCTGATGTGCTTATCTGCCGTGTTGGGGATATAGGCTTGTTGAATTTCTGCTTTAGGAGTAAATTAAACTATTAGTTCAGTTAGGTGGTCCTTCAGGCACTCTGTTAAGAATCTGTCATTTCCTTTCAGTTTGGAAAGGCTCTGTGCAGGTTACAGAGTCCAAATTATCAAGACTGTCTAGAAGAAGAGGTAGTTTAATATTCCTTGCCTGTAACTGCAGTTAGAATAATTTAGATTGGGTTTTGTTTCAGTAGCCTTCAGGGAAGGTTACATTTAGCCTATCGTCCTGGTGTAGGTAAGCACTGTTGAGGCATGAGGTAGTTCTTGCTGTAGTGGGACAGGTTGCATATATAATATTTGCAGAATTATGTCCTTTCAGGATCATGTTAAATGACTTCATGGTTTAATCTGCCCCTCTGTTGTGTATCTTTACCTGTCCTGTGTATCTTGTGCTTTGGAGCTGAGCACTGTGGTACAGCACCCACTTCGTTAACTTGCCTTCCTGTCGCTTTGTAAGGGGGATGCTCTTTAGCTGTATTTTATGGTATTTTTATTTTGGCATTTTATCAAGGGTACGATATGATTTTGGTTGAACTTCTACCATGTTGTCTGCCCTAGGCATCCAGCCTGAGCCATTTTCTTACAGGTGCTTACCTTTCTTCACGTGCTAGCTAGGGTTTCTTAAGCATTTAACCTTGATTGTCTTAAATGTGCTTAGGTAACATACCTGTTGTAACCAAAATCAGACCATTTTAGCATAAAAAATACTTGGAGATTTTCATGTAGCAGGGCATTTTGTGTTAAAATTAATGTGTTATATTTGCTATGCATTTTTTTAACAGATAATATTGATGTCTGCTTCCATCAACTCTAAAGAATTTGCTGATTACTTTGCAATTCCACTTCGTAATGGGCTGAATCCAGTCTGTGTATTTAAGGTGGAAGGCAAACCTTTTGCAGTTGAAGAATATTATCTTGATGATTTAAAGGACACTGTTGATTTCAAGGTAATGTAAATATAATGTCATTTCTTTGGACAGAGTAAGAAAGAAATTGGAATAGTCAGTCCAACTGTGTAATAAAATTACAAATAACCAATTTTACATTACACTTCTAGGTAAGAATTAATACTTTATGATAAAACAGGAGTCTTCTTACCAGCACACTAGTTTCTTTCATGTAACAGAAATAGAATGCAAAGTACTGGGAATTTTAAGTAGTATGAGGCATTTTGTTTGGTAGCTTGCATTTAAAGGTGAACAATGTAAAATTCTGTGCAGAAAGTAACATATTAAGATTTTACAGATCTCTTTGAATATAGCTGAGAAAATCGGAATATTTCCTGGGTTGGTCCATGTTGGTGTTATGTATCAAAGGCAGAAAGTGCCAGGAAATTAAGAGTCATCAGAAAACAAGCATTTGTGCTTAGAACTTTGATGTTACAAGTTGGCTTCTCTCTCAGCTGAGGATTTCCTATTCTTTTTTTCTTTCCACTTTTTTTTTTCCTTAATAAAACCAAGAGATGTTATGCAACCGTTTTGAACATGTTTCTGTTGTAGCTCCATAGGCCACCGTGGCAAATGTGTAATTTTGAATAATGAAAATGTGTTGGAATAACAGCTACTTCTCAGATCCCTGGGTGGGCACTTGACAGCCAGTATGGCTGCACTGGAGAGCTGCTGCTCTGGTGCCTGAGGAGGGTAGTAGTGGCTGAAGATTTGTTTGCTGTATCAATCTTTAGCTTATAAACTGCACAGATTGTATTTTGAACATTTGGTTTGTAGAGCTCCTGACGTGCTATTTTATAGCAAGTGTCCGTGTAGACATCAGATAACGAAGGAATTAATGTAAATACATATTAATTTATTTTCTGCGCTTTTATAATAGTGGAGGTTGTTTTACATTTGAAAAGCAGCTGTGTAGGAGTTCACTCGAGTGAACTCTTCCAGTATTATGGTTCAAGGCAAAATAAACAGGTTAAAGCAAAGTACAACAAATGCATTCAGGCTTTAATTGTGACACTCACTCCAAAAACAACTGGGACATGGGAGTAATTATTGGTCAGTTTTGATAATTCAGAACGCTGTTATTACAATGAAGAAGATGAGGGATGCACTTGAAAAGAAGCATGTGTGAACACACTGTTACTATTTAGCTTTCATCCCTCAACTCTGCAGAAAATGAAATAGTGAAATAAAACAGGTAGTTTGAGAAACCCAAAAGATAACTGCTTATGCTGTACACAAAACAGGCATTGGTTATGTCTCAGAACAGGCAAGCTAAAATAAAAGGCTGTCAACTGTTGAAGTTTTAATGCAACCAAAAAAAAGAATAAACTCAATTCTTATAGCAGTTGGCCCATCAGTATTTATACATTAGTATGGCAGCTCAGATAGATAATGTGGAGATTATGTAATACATGGGGGTTTTGTAAAAGATTTCTGATAATTACAGCAAAAAGATAACCAAGAAATTCAGTAAGGAGTTTACTTCAGTCAAGTTGGATTTGTCATTGCTACCCTTTGAGCTGAATGTCAGCTTCCACACCTTTCACCTCAGAGATCACGAACAAAAGGAACTGCTTTCAGTGCTTAGACCTTTTTTTACTTTTCATTTTCTCTGTGTTTTTTTTGTTGTTTTTTTTTAAGTTTTCATCTGATTCTTTATCTTGTGTTGTCCTATCTATAGCCATTCTGGTTTTCAGCAGGACAAGGAGAGTATGTTTGTCCACGAAGTTACTTGTGCCTTAGGGCAACAATAAAAGCACATAAGTGCTTTTGATTTTTTTTTTTTATATGTATGCAGAAATTGAATTGTAAAGCACTGATACTTGGTCTCTATCCTGTTTCTTATGGTGCTGTGTGTGAAGATTTTCTGTGAATACTAGTTATAATTAAAAAATACTTAAAAACATAGAAGGTCTAAGATTTGTGTAGCATCTTAATAAAATGAAAGTGGAACCTGAGTGTTAAGACAGTTAATGAGCTAATGCTGCCATATGGAAGCGGGGCACATCTTTCATCATGCTAAAATCACAATGAGTTGGATAACTGCCTGAGGTACAGGCTTCAGGCTTTAGTTCTTGATGTTTTATTTTCACTTTTAAAAACCTGTAAAATTCACATAGAAGAATACAGCAGTTAAAAGTAAATGCAGTCTTTGCTCTTTCGATAAACAGGATTTTTCCATGTTTCCTTTTGATTTTAAAATTAATAACTATAAAATCAGATTACATAAATCTTAACTCATTCCTTAAAGCATCTTGGTTGAAATCAGTTTAGTCCTTTGTAACTGTCTTTGTGCTGTGAGCTATGAACCTTTGTCCATTCTCAAAAAATCTTAAAATAATTGGATGTTACTGTATAAATGTAGAATCTTTTACGAATCCTGCAGAGCTCTTGACTTTAATACGTAATTTATTTCTGTGTGTGATAATGTTTTAAAACAATGCTTGAAAAAAAAAATTTCTTTGGGTGGTTCTGACTTGGTTATTTAGTGAATTCATTGATATCAGTTGTGATTTGGAAGATAAAAAAAAACAACATCATTATTTTTTCTTCTTTATACCTGTTTGCAGTAAACCCTTTGCTGTGGCTGTACAGACATCTAGCTGAATCAAAGATAAAACTTTCCACTTGAATTGCTTCATTTGTAGAAAAGAGTAAGAGGGAAAGAAGCGAGAAACACTCTTCAGTGTAACATTGGCTTATCCTTGCCCAGATACCGGGTCATTTATAGGTGCTACTGTTTAATTTGTGAGCATAGGCTTATAAAAAGTAGTTTCTTCTGGCATAATGGGCTTTGTAAACATGTTGTTCTGGATGTTTAACAGGATCATGATTCTGTCATATCAGCAACCCCTAAGCCCCAAGGAATCATTGAAACACAGGCTTCATGAAAAATGCATCAAGGTTCTGTCTATGGGCAATTCTAAAGGTAGTTGTGTAAGTGCTTTCCTATTGTCATGGATAGTATTGGAGATAGGAAATGGAAATTAATTGTATAGTTAACTCAGTGAGCAGACTTAAAAAAATGAAGCAAAGTGTAAAAATGCAAAGCCATTTTTGTCTTGCAAAGGTAAAAACTTCATACCACTGGAATTGGGGTCAGAGTTCTGAGACGGTAGTGAACTGCTGTCAAAAGCTATTTTGACTGTGTTAGATTATTTTAGTCAGGTCTGACTGGGCTTTTGGATTTACTGTTTGTCACATTGTTACCTTTTATTAGGAGAGATGTAGAAGCTTTGTCATGCTACTGATTGTACCTTTAGTACTCTTTAACAAAATTGCAAAGACAAATTTGATGGTTATTTAAGCAGGGATAATATGAACTCAAAAATCTTATGTTTGAGCAGCCCAGAAGAGATAAATCACTTAGATTTTTTCACATATATTGGGGCATTAAAAAAAAAAAGTATTCAAGTATTTTTGATAAGTAATGTTTTCTGTTTTCTGATGGACTAATCAAGCTACAGTGGAAGCCAGTGTAGAATGCAGTTCAGAAGCTCTGGGACTGACAGAGTTGTCCACCTGAAAAGTCTGCCCAGCTGATGGATTTCGAGGAGGATCAGAGAAGTGGAATGAATATTATTCATTTCTTATAGATGGCTCTTTTTGATCCCCCAACCCATTCTCTGCCAGAAGAAAGTAGAATAATTTTCTCAGGGTTTTCAGAAAGGAGTCTTTCTGAAGACACCAAGGTGACCCATGGTTACATGATGTAAGGGGTTGAAAGCTGAGGACAGAGGTTGCAGTAGCAAAAGCTGGTGTAAATCAGTGTTGCCAGATTGGTGCTAGTAGTAGTGCTTTTGTGATTCTGTCATGAACTCCTTCAGAAAGAAAACTGGTAGAAAAATAACTAATTTCACTGTAA